TTTTTTTTTTTTTGCAAGAATCTCTGTCCCTTTTTGTGACTTCTATTTTTATGTTTAAAAAAAGCAATCACTTGAAGAACGAGTTTTCACAATCAAATTGATTGCTTCTTTTCTCTTTGATGGATAGATGTCATTTTTATTAGAATTATTTGTGGTCCAGCCTGCATATTTTGAGTAAGCAATATATCCTATCCATTGAAAAGATTAATTTATTTTTTTCCTACTGTGTTCTTGATTCTCATTTGGCTGCTTATTTAAAAGGAATTTGGTTTTTGATGTATATACATTATTTGGGAATTGGGTGGTCCAATGGGTGAGCCGGTTTTGCTATGAAGCCAACGGTTGGCTCCACAGTGGAGCCAACATTCTTTATACAACAAGTAAACTTACTATATTTCCTGATTACTTAAATAACACTAATATAATTTTATTAATATGGTAAGTTTATTTATTGTATATAGAATGTTGGCTCCACTATGAAACTAACTGTTGACTTCATAGCAAAATCGATAGGCGAACATATCAAAATGAGCAATTTGAGAGTTGCTTTGCAAATGACAATGAAAAGTAATTTTGTTTTTAGCTTGAAAAGAAGACAATATTTTGTGTGGATTCAAGGGGTGGGCCCAGACTTTGTTATGATTTTTCTCTGGTGTCAGTTGACACTTTGATTATACTTTATTGAGTTTTAAATTTTAATATATTTGACGTTTCGAAAAAAAAAATTGTCAAATAACGATCTTTATGATGGTTCGTTTAAAATTATACTAATACATATATATGAGAGGGAAGTAATATAAAAACTACACTTTTACAAATTAAATGTGGGTTATATGAATATTCTATGTGATATGTACATGAAAGTTGGGCACAAATCTATATATATATATATAATTGCTGGCATACAACATTTAATAAAACTTCTATTCATTTTCTCGCCTATTTTTTTAATTAATGTAGAACCGTTACATTTTATTTTCCCGCTCATTTTTTCAATTAATGTAGAACCGTTATATTTTACATTAATAAAGTGTAATAATAATTTTAAATTAATTTATTCACTACTAACACTAATTGATTACAACTTTACATTAAATAGTATGTGGAAGTTACATACTTATAAAAAAATTGTATTGAATTTTTTTTCTTTAAGATACTTTCTCTAAAATAAAATATTTTTATCTTTTTAAGCGGTTTTTATCTAATATTAGTTAATTGGCATGATTGTCATAATTAAACACCTTAAAATCACATAAACCATTGCTTTAACAATGATAAAAATAATTATTATATTTTTCTAACTAATTAATTGTATGGTCCGTAAATTACTAAATTATATTATCCATTAAAATTTATGGTATCAATATAAAGATTCGTACGTAAGTTAAATAATTTATATTTACATTACACATTTGCATATAGTCAAGATTTAAAATGCAATACATCAATTATCTCATATAATTTTATATATTGTATACATTACATATAATATATAAATTTTTATTTTTCTTTGTGCATGTGCACAGGATGAATACTAGTTATTTTTGATTTTGAAGTGTTACAAAAAAATAATAAAATAAAAAAAATTTATGATCTGTTTAAAATATATAAAATTTGTCCATCTAAAACATTTCATTCAATGCAACTAATCAATGCAGAAGCACTTAAATGTCTCATTTGTTCTAGAAAAAAATTACCTCCTTACATCTTCTTTTAACGTTTTTTTTTTTCGGTATTATAGAGACTTATATTTTAATTTTACGTTTCCTAATCACATATATGTGGTTTTAATATTTGTAATTTCCATATTATCTGATTTTTATTGTTATAAGTTTAAAATTTGTGGGTTTATCTCTTTCTCTTACCTCACCCGGCCCTTTGAGTTATGGACTTCTTTGAATTTTTGTCTTCTCTTTACTCTCTTTTTTGAAATTCCTCTTCAATACCTCTAAAACTAAGGAGGATGTATTCAATTAAACATTATAAAGACTTTTAGGACGCGATTAGAAATACAAAAATTCAGATAAAAACAACATACCCGATAAATCACATGGGTTTGTACAAAAAGATTCTGACCATTAAATACCGCCAATGAGTTTTGGTTGGTATGAATTTAAAATGACTTCCTACCCTCCTACCAAGTTTTAAAAGTGCTCTCTCAAACTTCTTATATTATTTTTATTTTTTATTTTCAAGAACGATAGAACTTAAATAGAAAAAAAAAACACATAAGTACAATTAGATTACAACCTAACATTTGAATAAGGCTACTAAAAGCTAAATCTAGAAAGGACAAATTAAAAAGTCGCCTAGAAACTAGGCTAGACAGAAACTAAAACAACTCACCCACCAACTAAGAATAAAAACTACCAAGCTCTAATAATGGAGAATAAAAGCTCCCACATATACACACATATTTGTTAGGTGCTCCCAAAAGACCGGAGAGAATTGTAGATCTGCACCCCTGAGTACATGCAGTTGTTTCCTTTCGTCGACGTCGCCGAGTGAATGATATGCATCTAAACTAAGAATTATTTTTTAGTTTGAAATATATTACGAAATAATCAATTGATTTATAATTTTTCTATTCGAGCTTCTCTCTCCCACTCTCTTCTTCTCCGATTTCAACTTGTTTTACAATTGTAGGTTATCCGATGTTATTAATTTCTCCTCTCTTTCTCACACTATTCCTCTCCGATTTCAACTTGTTTCACAATTGTAGGTTATCCGATGTTATTAATTTCTCTTCTCTCTTTCTGACACTCTCTTCCTCTCCGATTTCAACTTGTTTCAAACTTGTAGCTTGTTAGATTATCACTTGTGAGTTGTCCCACATCGTTCATACATGAAAAATAGACCCACCTTATAAGTCTAATGGGCTACTCCTTCCACCAATTGGTTTTAGGATGGAACCCCACTTGGGCTTCATATGAGCTTTCTCTCTCATGGTGCGCTTCATGTTAGTGGGACCGCACACGTTTTATCCCAGTTTCTTACATGGTAACAGAGCCGGTTCTATTGGGACCGTGCGATAACGTATCCATTTATGGGAGTCTGCTTCTAGTAGGCTTGGGGCACCCGTTTTATCCCAATTTCTTACATGGTATCAGAGCCGGTTCTATTGGGACCGTGCGATGACGTACCCGTTTATGGGAGTCTGCTTCCCCACGTATCCATTTATGGGAGTCGGCTTCTAGTAGGCATGGGGCACCCAACCCAGTTGGGTTTGGGCTTCCAAAGCACTCACAAGTGAAGGGACGTGTTAGAATATCACTTGTGAGTTGTCCCACATGGTTCATACATGGAAAATAGACTCACCTTATAAGTCTAATGAACTACTCCTCCTTCCACTAATTGGTTTTGGGATGGAACCCCACTTGGGCTTCATATGGGCTTTCCTTCTCATGGTGCGCTTCATGTTAGTGGGATCACACCCGTTTTTCCCCCAATATCTTACATAGCTTATATGGTGTTATTCATTTTATTTTGAGACAAATGGAGAGAGAGAGAGAGAGAGAGA